GTTTTTTCTTGTCAATTGGGAATAAAAGAATTATATATGTTGAAAAATTTTTTATTTGTCAATCAATATTTATTTATGTGATGGTGTAGAATTTTAATTGTGCTTTATTATTTTCACACTTGTTCTATTTCTGTATGCACATATAAATATTTATTTATTTTTTTTTGTCATAGATTATATTGAAATTGAATTTAAATCATTTACTTTATCTTTGTTTTCAGCTTGTTAAAAAGTCCAACCATAAAACGGATGGAAATTCGATCTCCTCACATGCCATCGATGACTATCAAACAGGTCGCAACTCTACGGTATATACAAGTCAATTGATTCTCTTTTCAAACTATATATATATATATATTTTGTTTAGTTCGTATGATGGACCATATAAAGAGTCAGGTCATGATAATCGAATTGTTACTTCCGCGAATAGTACACCTCAGACATTGTCACGTACTAGCTCAATTAAAAAACAACATGTTCATTGGCCTGATGGATCAACAAAACCGAAAGGTGATGATCTTCGTTCAATAAAAGATCGACAATTTACACCACGAAAACAACCATATCCTGGAGGAGAAATTTTCAATACGTCAATACTTACTGAATCTCCCTCAAGTCATCGTCGTACTGCTGTTATTCCTGCACCATCTTCAGCACTTTCTCATCTTATTCAAACAGCTATTATTCCAGCTGGTTCGTCTGTTACGAACGCTGGTGCAAATCAACGATTAATGCCACCAAAACAACTGACACCTACTCATTTACCTAATTATACAAACATTGTATAGATAGTTTTGTTCTAATCCGTTTGTATGATATATCTCTATCGACTTTTTCTTTGCAGTATTTTTTGCACATTTTTATAGTGAACATGTTTTTTTTAAATACATAATCATATTGTTTTGCTCAATTTTAGTGATTTCTGTGTGTGTATGTATGTTTTTATTCGTGCAAGTGAAATATATAATATAACTACTAACAAGTCAAAGAACATGTTTTCTATTGTTGTGACATTTCTTGTTTATCTCATTATTCTACTCGAGAAGACATAGTTTTAAAAATATGCGCATTTATTTATAGATCATTATAAAATTAAGTATAAAATCGTAGCCAAGTGGAAAATATATGAGATAAATAAG